GCTTGCGTTTTGATGGTTTAACTCATGTTTGTTAGTCATAATTATAAATTATCAAGCTGTTTTCAAAGAGATTTTTTATACGAAACAAATGACAAAATGTTGAGATATTTTGAAATTCTTTTCACTTACAAGAGAGCTATATGAAAATGTTTTAGGCTGTTTTCAGACATCTCAGAGAACTTATTAACGGACCCTAATTTGACCCCATTTTTTTGTGAACATTTAAAAAATTTTGAAGTTAGAGTTCATTTCAGGTCCGGTTCGATGCCCTGCAATGCGAATGCGCAACTAGCACTGAAGGCAGGGGGGAGTTCCAGTGAACACTACAGGAGTAGGGAGGGACCCTCTTGGGAGATCCCGAATGACTTCCTGCCCAGTCCCATCGTCGAGATCACGTCACCCGAGCCGTCTTCGGGATCCCCGTTCAGGTTCGAATCCCCCTGTATCGTAGTTTCCGAATGCGCCGCAGCCGCGAGAGAGTGGACGGCGCTCACCCGGGAGAGTCGCCCAAACTGAACGGGTCCTTTGGGGGGAGCAGTCACTCAGTCCGAAGCGATAACCCATCCCTTTTTTTCACTTTACAGTTTTTTTTACTCCGAGAAAACATTTGCCGAAAAATCAATCTTTCGAAGAGCAACGGAGTTGATCTAATAAGTTGTTCTAAATTCCAAACGGAGTTTTACCTTTGCATTGAACAAAAGAGACTAAAAAAATTGAACTGCAATTAATTTTAACTATTCAAATTGAATGAATTAGTCTTCGAATCGGTCGACTGGCTTTAAAGAATTTAAAACGGTGGTAAAAAAAATCCATAAATGATGTTAACTTCAGTCATAGGACAAAATGTTTGCAGTTTTTTTTGGCAGACGACGATGAACGTAATTCGAACGCTTATTTAGGTGGTGATGAATATATTTTTTTCGTTTTTTTATTTTTCAGAAAAAGTCTTGAATTATGCTCCGCCCAATTTTTCCTTTTTTATTTTTTGATTTCATTTTATTTTAGTTAATTTCTTTTATTAAAGGAAAGGCAAATTTCTCTATGTAACATCGAAAATGTAGTCACAAAAAACGGTATTGGGGTTTAGTTTCAAAATTGAACTTTGTTGGAATTCTCAGCCAAATAAAAAATAACATTTAATCACTTACATTTACTCTAAATTTTCTCAATAATGTTGCTCTAGAATTTCAATTTGCTTCATCATCATCCATTTTTTTCTTGGAATTTTGAATGATTTTCAAAAAATAGTTCACTATTGTTTTTGTTTATTTGCGTTTATTACTGTTTACCATTTGTCTGTTGGCTATATATCTGCTCTATTGGACAAATGATCAGATACACACATTACAATCTTTTTTTTTGTTGTTTTCGTTGCAACTTATGAAAACGCAGAGCTGTAATTTTCACGTGCTCAAAAAAATTCAAAGAATTCTACGAGATCGAAACTAAAAACTTTGCTTTGGAAGCAGTTAAAGACCAGTTCATCATTACTTGTGAAATGTATGTTTGTTTTGAATTAACGTTGCAAACAGATCAAGGAAATATTGCAATCAAGAAAGTTCTTTGTGAACCAACTGAGCTTCATTTCCTTCTCAAATAGCACAAAAACTAAACCAAAACTCACGCACTAAATGGCTCAAAATTGTTAATTTATTTTAATTTGAGCTAAAGATTGGGTGATCAAAGTTTTTTTGCAATTTTAGCCAATCAAACTCATATAGAATGGTCAAGTATTTCAATGAACTCTTGCAGCACATAAAAATGTAACCGAAATACCAAAAACGTGGTTTTTCTCACATAACAAAATAAATTTCGTGCCACATGTAAAATTTTGCTCAGAAAATAAAAAATTAACAAAAATGCCTCTATAACAGTTTATATATTTTTAGTCAATTTTAAAAATAGTTTATCTGCGTGAAATTTCAGTAGTTCAATTTCATTTTATTTTAGTTAATTTCTTTTATTAAAGGAAAGGCAAATTTCTCTATGTAACATCGAAAATGTAGTCACAAAAAACGGTATTGGGGTTTAGTTTCAAAATTGAACTTTGTTGGAATTCTCAGCCAAATAAAAAATAACATTTAATCACTTACATTTACTCTAAATTTTCTCAATAATGTTGCTCTAGAATTTCAATTTGCTTCATCATCATCCATTTTTTTCTTGGAATTTTGAATGATTTTCAAAAAATAGTTCACTATTGTTTTTGTTTATTTGCGTTTATTACTGTTTACCATTTGTCTGTTGGCTATATATCTGCTCTATTGGACAAATGATCAGATACACACATTACAATCTTTTTTTTGTTGTTTTCGTTGCAACTTATGAAAACGCAGAGCTGTAATTTTCACGTGCTCAAAAAAATTCAAAGAATTCTACGAGATCGAAACTAAAAACCTTGCTTTGGAAGCAGTTAAAGACCAGTTCATCATTACTTGTGAAATGTATGTTTGTTTTGAATTAACGTTGCAAACAGATCAAGGAAATATTGCAATCAAGAAAGTTCTTTGTGAACCAACTGAGCTTCATTTCCTTCTCAAATAGCACAAAAACTAAACCAAAACTCACGCACTAAATGGCTCAAAATTGTTAATTTATTTTAATTTGAGCTAAAGATTGGGTGATCAAAGTTTTTTTGCAATTTTAGCCAATCAAACTCATATAGAATGGTCAAGTATTTCAATGAACTCTTGCAGCACATAAAAATGTAACCGAAATACCAAAAACGTGGTTTTTCTCACATAACAAAATAAATTTCGTGCCACATGTAAAATTTTGCTCAGAAAATAAAAAATTAACAAAAATGCCTCTATAACAGTTTATATATTTTTAGTCAATTTTAAAAATAGTTTATCTGCGTGAAATTTCAGTAGTTCAATTTTGTTATAAAAATTTTGTTATAAAAATGTCAGACCAAGTTGTTTGAATTTGATTTTCCAATCAAACTCAACCTCATTATTTTCAGTTCGAGATGTAGAAAAGCTGGTTTCGGTCCGTTTACACAAATTGTTTTTTTTCGAGACATTTTTTTCAAAATAAGCGCAGTTAACTTCCTTTATTAAAGTAAACGGAAATTGCGCTATCGAACAACAAGAATGTAGAGGTCACAAAAAACGTGATCATTTTCTAGTTTCGACATTGAAATTTATCAGTTTCCACAGCCGAACAACAATTTTCATTCGATCATTTACTTTAATATGTAATTTTCTCAATTTGGGTTAAATTTTATCGAAAAAATGTCAATCAAACCTTGTTCTAGAATTTCGAATTGTTTTTAGGTCATCCAATTTTTTCTAGGAATTTCGAAAGTTTTTCAACAAGAAATTTAGTTTTTTTGTGCTCATTACTGTTTTACATTTGTCTGTTGGCATGTATCTTCTTTATCGAATAAATGAACAGATACATTTGTTACACTAGTTTTTTGTTGTTTTGTTTGTAACATATGAAGAAAATACAGAGCTAAACTTTCACATGTGCTCAAAAAACAATTTAAAAGATTTCCCTGAGATCGCAATCGAAAATTTTGCTTTGGAAGCAGTTGAAGACCAACCATTTGCATTGACCGACTCTAAAATTTCTGTGTCGAAAAAACGCAATTTTTTTGGTCACATTTTCTGAAAAAAAACGCAATTTTTTGGTCAAAGCAGACCTTTTTTTGCCCTGTTTTTTCAAAAAATTTCCGTAAAGCAGAAAAATTGGCCAAAATGGAGTCTTTTCAGTGAATTGGAAGAGCTCTGAAATTCAATTTGGTCGTCGTAAAAAAAAAGAAAAAAGATTGACCATTTTTTGAATTTTTTTATTGAAATTCCGCATCTAAATCTAAAAAATCCTGGATCCGCTCTCGATTTTGTTTGTTGTTTTTTTGTTTTTTTTTAAAATTTAGTTTTCTCATAATTTTTTATTTCATTTTGTTTTGGGAAACCGTTTTTTACGAATAGTGGCCGAAAGTTAATGGTACATTTCATTGGGCTGAAATGTATCAATTTTCTTTGTTATTAGCAGTTTATCAAATTTTTACGTAACAAAACTGCATATTGTGCTAAAAAAAAAGAAACTATACTTCTATTGCCGTTATTCGGAATTACTCTCTTCACTCAAGACAATGAAAAAGAAACTAATTTATTTTTATTGTTACTTTCATATCCTGTAAAGGTCAGGCTAGAGTTTTTCTACAGCGTAGTACCAATGGAAGAGAAAAGTGCATCTAATTGAAATTTTGACTGTATCTGATGCGGTTTTTTGCGCCAAAGAAAAAATTATGTTTCGTCCTCTTGTAACTCGAAGGACACAAAAAGGGATTTTTTTCACTATATCCCCCCATTTGCAAAAAAAGGGGGATTCGGTGAAAGGTTTAAAATTCTCATCTGCTAAACTGTTGATTTATTTCTTTATAGGAGGGGGATATTCGTTACTAGGTACCCGAGGGGGGATATAGTTAAAAAGTGATTCCAAAAAAGATTTATTTGTTTTAGTTTTGGAGAGAAGGAGGCGTCGCCTGTTAAACTACCGAGTGTAGCGCAGAAAATCAGCCAGGTCATAACTAACAATGTCTTGACCCCTTCGATGGCTTCTGACCTTGCCACAACGAATAACCCAATGACATCTTTCGCCCAGAAGTTGGGACTACCCTCTGCGAGCTACATTTACAGGGGGATATCTGCCTACGCTTCCAGTGCCGCCGGATCTGCCGGCGACAGCAGCCTGCAACACCCATCTGTTGCGGGCGCCGCTGCCGGACAAAATCAAACTGGTAGTACGGCGGATAGGAGTCGCGATGGTCCAGCCGCTGGGTTTTACCCTTACTTGCCACCTGCCTTGCAGCCATTTTCATCTACGGAAGGTGCTAGTCAGTCGTCGGGGGGAGCAGGAATTGTAGGAGGGGGAGGGGGCTTGGTCGGGGGGCTGAGCGGGGTTTTGGACCCTGGCAGCGGAGGTGTGGGCGAGGGACTGATGGCTTTCTCATCATCGCCTAACAACCCATCATCATCCAATCAAAACAGTGCCTTGCAACAAGATAGGGTATGCTACAGTTTGACTTTTATCAAATTCTTCTTGTTTTTGCCGAAAATTTGAGAAAAAATCAGAAGTTGACATCTCAATTATAAAACCAATTGAGCAAGACTTCGCTTGCATGAAAAAACCACGAGGCAATTTTGCAAATTTTAACCGATTGATTTTATTAATTTTATCACATTTATTGAAACGTAAGTTAGAAGTGTCTTATCAAAATAAAGAGTATATAGCAAAAGTTATTTGTATTTCAGAGTTGGTTCCAGAGCGGAGAAATGGTCGTGTTTGTGTTGATTCTCAACCTCGGATTCACCGCTTTGTTCGCACATTTACTCACCTCATAACACCCCCCCCCCCTCCCCCTCACGCTCCTTTTTATATCCTTGCCAACATCACCCCCCCCCCCCTCCCTCACTCTCTCTTCCTTGCCCTATTCACCACTACTACCTCCGCTACTCAGTCACTCATCTAAACACGACATTGACCCCCCCCCCCCGAACTATTTGCTCGATTACTCATCTAACTCAGCTCATCATCTCGAAAGGAAGCACTCGGAACAATCTGCTCATGAGTCAAACAGCAAAAAAGAAGACAACAAGATCGCTCTGTGACTTAAAAAATTCAGCGCATTAGGAGCCCAAAAACCGACCACAATATTTTGACGTCCAAAGAAATTCTATTTTTTATATACTTTTCTAGTCTCTAAATGACCAGAACAAAACTCAAGACGACAACCTACCATACATAACTCACTCTTTCTTGGCTTCTTCTCTTTGTTACTTAAATGTTTCGTAAATTAGGCTCTAAACTTCGTTTAATATGTTGCTCTAATTGTGGCTACAAAATGGCACAATGATTGAAAAATTCTAACGATAGAAATGCTATCTTTGCAATGTCATCAATGAATTTGGTAAATCGATGCAGTTCAATTAATCTTAACTTTCAATTCTAAAATGCAGTCTCAATTTCTAATTTATTTTTTAAAGTTTTCTTTCTGTGGCAAACTTCTGAGACAAAAATAATTGGCACAATTCACAAAATCGCAAATCGAACAAGAATAGTCGTATATCAGGACAAAGCCCTGATAATCCCACTGCTTCAAGGACACTTGAAAAAATTTTTTGGTTGAATAATTGACAAAGAAACAGAGAAAAAAAGAATTTTTTTAAAAAGTTTTTTCTCCATTTCGTCCCCCCCCCAACGGTATGTTAATACTAACGGTGTAATGATGTGATCATAAGATTACATTGCTGGCCTCAATTCAATTTGGAACGCATTAATTTGCAATTGAAGCGTGTTAAATCGCGCTGTAATTATCCCAAACAGTCGAAATTAGCAATTTTAAAACTCCCGTAAACTTTTTTATATTATTCAAAAAGTATTGTTGTTCTGAGCTTATAATTAAAAAGATAATTCACCTCTGATTCCAGTGAAGTTATGGGGATTTCAAAATTGCCATTTTGGCCCATTTGGGACAATTAACACGCGATATATTTCGCGCTTTTAACGCATAAGCAGAGATTTAATCACCTTAAAAATCGTTCCAAATTGATTGAAGGAAGCTTCTTCGTCATAATAGATTTTTTACTGGGAGCAAAATCTGTCCTTTTGTACTTTATATGGTGTTTGGAGGGACGGTTTTCCCGACTTTGTATTTTTTAACAGTTAATTTTTTCACGTAATACTGCTCCATAGAGCTCAAAGGGATTGTTGTCCTGGGCTTAAATTTGAAAAGATATTTCACCTGTGATCATTTTCGTAAAGTTATGAGGGTTTAAAGGTTGCCATTTTGGCCATTTTGACCAATTTGGGACAATTAACGCGCGATATAATTCGAGCTATTAACGCGTAAGCCGAGATTTAATCCGTCTTAGAAATCGTTCCAAATTGGTTGAAAGAAGCTTATTTGCCATAATTGGTTTGTTTCGAGGAACGAAGTCTATCCTTTTGTACTTTATATGGCGGTGGGGGGGGGGTTTATTTTCATTAAAAAAAACTCAAATTAAAAAACAAATTTTATTCTATTTTATTTCAATTAATTTTGTAAAGTTATTTTTGCTCCATAAATCTTAAAAAGCAGTTGGAACATTCAGGGCTTCGCCCTGATACGAGCAGTCTTGTTTATTTTTCTTTCCATGCAAAATTAGTTACCCCAAATAATCGTCAGATCATATCTATCGAATTATCCTGTTAGACACATTAAGTCGTATTTTCAACAACATTTGTAAATTTTCCAAAAGGTTTCTCAGGTTTTTTTTACCAAATGCACTGAAAACATCTTTCTTCTATTCATTTGATGCTTGAAAAGCAAACTTTCGTTATTTTTTTTGGCAAATTATTGAATTTTTGTAGTAAACTTAATTCAAAACCTCACGCATAACAAAACGGCACAAATTAAATAACAATTATTATCGAGTTTGTGTCGTTTTAATATAGGTGCGGTGAGGATTTCTAATTAAAAATGATGCAATAGTTAGAGACTTCGAGACTTAATAATGATTATTTTTGAGAGACAAAATCAGATTCTTCTGCTTAAGTTAATTATTGGAATTTTGCTGTAAGGACTTTTAACAATTTGGGTTGCCAAGGAACTAGCAGAAAAAAAAACAATTAAATGCAAGTGGTTGGTGTAACAGCCGTTGAACTGTTACACGCGACCAATTAAAAGTTAAGTCTTCGGTCCTACAACTACTGGCTCAAGATCAAAAACACTGATAATATTGCTTTTATTGTCAGGCGACAATTTGCAACAGGCGACAATTCGTAACGGGGAACACTGATTAATGCGCAGTAGTCCTCTCGTGCCGAATAAAAGCGCAGTGGAGCGAAGTGGACTAAGCGCGTGCTACTTGCCAATGCCTTGTTACGAGTTTTCGCCTTTTACGCATCGTCGCTCGATACGAATTGTCGTCCTAGCTGCTTTTAGACATTTCTATAGGTTCGGCGACAATCTGTTTCTGGTTCAGCGATTTCAATTTAGTAGCGTTACTTGAAATACGCAATTCGAGTTCTTGATGTTTTTCTGCTGGAGTTGCTGAAGTCCAAACCATGCTTTTACACTTATAGCATCAGTCAAATCAAGGTTGGGTTCCAGGTGTGTTTTGCAATTTGTATGAGCTGATCATCGATAAAGATCCCGACATGAAGGCTTTTTTAAATCACAATCCAGTCAGAAATTCTGGCCTGATCTCAAGATCACATTGATTTTTCTCTGACAAGCTCTCTATTAAGGTCAGTAACCCTTGAGACCAAGGTTGCAATATATACTTGCAAGCGTTGTGTCCACACACGTGTACTTCAATATGTCTGCGAGTTACTCAGAAACTTCCCTAAGTATCCACTCCTGGCTTACTGCTCGTCTTTAGTCGTCTTATGGTGTCCAGATCTTCAAGGCGTGCGTTCAGCCTTGGCTGTATTCCGTCAACTCAGTTCACCTACAGATTAACTCGGATATGGACGAGGACAACCCGTGAAGGTCGACCGTGAAGGTCGACAGACAAGGGATTTTCGGTCGCGGCAATTACTTTTCCGCGGCCGAGAAAGTCGAAAAAAAAGTCGCGGACCTCGACCCGGGTGGATGTGGAGACGGTCCATACCAAGGCGGATTCGGCGCGACTACCCAGACCAAAAAGGAGACGGCGTGACTAAGAATCAATTCCTCGCGTCCAGACCAAGGCGGATGCAAAGTCGCGCCATCTCCGCCTTTATCGTGAAAGTCGCGCCGTATCCGCCTTGATCTGCTAAGTCGCATCTCGTCGCGTCTCGTGTCGCGCCGCATCCGGATCCAGGGCCAAATTGCACAGTCGCGCCAACTGTTTGAGTCTGAAAAGTCTGGACATGAGTCGCGCCAAGGGTTGCACCGCATCAGGATTTAGACCCAAATTGCATAGTCGCGCCGAAAGTTTGAGTCTGGAAAGTCTGGACATCAGGTCTGAAAAGTCTGGACATTAGTCGCGCCAAAGATCGCACCGCATCCGGATTCAGATCAAATTTCATAGTCGCGCCGAGACTTTCTAGATTTTATGTCCAGACTTTCCAGACCCAAACTCTCGGCGCGACTATGCAATTTGGGTCGGAATCCGGATGCGGTGCGACCCTTGGCGCGACTCAAGTCAAGACTTTCCAGTACTCATGTCCAGACGTTTCAGACTCAAACTCTCGGCGCAACTATGCAACTTGGGTCTGAATTCGGATGCGGTGCGACCCTCAAAGACTGGACATGAGTCTGAGACATCGACCCGGTCGGGGTATGCCACCCCTTGTTATACGCATTTATATCAGGTATAAGCAAAATGTATTGTTCTGAAGTTAGTAACAAATGCTTTACCGTAATTATATCTAGCTTGTTCGTCATTTGTATAAAAAGCTTCAAATTTTTTCATGTTTGACACAAAATGTTTTCAATATTAGAAAAATCGTAGGATCGAATTAGGAACCAACTCAAATGACAGTGAAAAATGTTTTCTGATGATTAGTATATTAGTATGTGGAGGATAGGGTTAAATCAAGGCGGATTCGGCGCGACTACCCATAAAAAGACGGAGACGGCGCGACTTTCCAGACCAATAAGGAGACGGCGTGACCAAGAATCAATTCCTCGCGTCCAGACCAAGGCGGATGCAAAGTCGCGCCGTCTCCGCCTTTATCGTGGAAGTCGCGCCGTATCCGCCTTGATCTGCTAAGTCGACTGTATCAAACTCGGTTGCGAAGAATATATTCTTGGTCGCGCCGTATCCGCCAGGGTTGCGTCTCGTGTCGCGCCGCATCCGGATCCAGGCCCAAATTGCACAGTCGGGCCAACTGTTTGAGTCTGGAAAGTCTGGACATGAGTCGCGCCAAGGGTTGCAGCGCATCAGGATTTAGACCCAAATTGCATAGTCGCGCCGAAAGTTTGAGTCTGGAAAGTCTGGACATAAGGTCTGAAAAGTCTGGACATTAGTCGCGCCAAAGGTCGCACCGCATCCATCCGTATTCAGATTAAATTTCATAGTCGCCCGAGACTTTCTAGATTTTATGTCCAGACTTTCCAGACTCAAACTCTCGGCGCGACTATGCAATTTGGGTCGGAATCCGAATGCGGTGCGACCCTTGGCGCGACTCAAGTCAAGACTTTCCAGTACTCGTGTCCAGACTTTTCAGACTCAAACTCTCGGCGCAACTATGCAACTTGGGTCTGATTTCGGATGCGGTGCGACACTTGGCGCGACTCATGTACAGACTTTCCAGACCCTATGTCCAGACTTTCCAGACTCAAACAGTCGGCGCGACTGTGCAATTTGTGTCTGGACCCGGATGCGGTGCGACCCTCAAAGACTGGTCATGAGTCTGAGACATCGACCCGGTCGGGGTATGTCACCCTTGTTATACGCATTTATATCAGGTATAAGCAAAATGTATTGTTCTGAAGTTAGTAACGAACGCTTTACCGTAATTATATCTAGCTTGTTCTTCATTTGTATAAAGAGCTTCAAATTTTTTCATAATTGACAAAAATGTTTTAAATATTAGAAAAATCTTAGTATGATCGAAATGGAAACCAACTCAAATGACAGTGAAGAATATTTTCTAATGTTTAGTATAGGATAGTGTTAAGTCAAAAACAACCAGTTTTTCCGATCATTGAAAGTAGAGAGATTTTTTGTACCTAAAACGATTTTTTGGATATTTGATCTTTTATTTCATCTGTTTCGTAATTCGTAGCACGAATAAGAAGCAAACTTGCAAAGGCGATAAAAAGAGCAGCAAAAATTTTGAAAAGCAACTTATTTTTTTTTGAATTGCAATCAACTCATAAGCTGGCAGTTTTAGTTAATTTTTATTTGTAACGAAGTGTTTCTTGATTTTCAATGAGCAAAATATTTGGCTTCTTGTAGTGAAAACTTATTACCGCTATCAAATTTATTATGAAAAAAAAACATTTTGAAATACAGTTATTCCTTGTATACGTCTGAGTAATTTTATTTATTTCGTAAAAAGTTTTCCTATATGTC